TCCATTAATACAAAGACCAAGCATGGCTGAAAAGCAACCTCCATTAATACAGAGACCATGCATGGCTGGAAAGCAACCTCCATTAATGCAGAGACCATGCATGGCTGAAAAGCAACCTCCATTAATACAAAGACCATGCATGGCTGGAAAGCAACCTCCATTAATACAGAGACCATGCATGGCTGGAAAGCAACCTCCATTAATGCAGAGACCACGCATGACTGGAAAGCAACCTCCATTAATACAGAGACCACACATGGCTGGAAAGCAACCTCCATTAATACAGAGACCACGCATGGCTGGAAAGCAACCTCCTTTAATACAGAGACCATGCATGGCTGGAAAGCAACCTCCATTAATACAGAGACCACACATGGCTGGAAAGCAACCTCCTTTAATACAGAGACCACACATGGCTGGAAAGCAAGCTCCATTAATACAGAGACCACGCATGGCTGGAAAGCAACCTCCTTTAATACAGAGACCACGCATGGCTGGAAAGCAACCTCCATTAATACAGAGACCACGCATGGCTGGAAAGCAACTTCGATTAATACAGAGACCACAACATGGCTGGAAAGCAACCTCCTTTAATACAGAGACCATGCATGGCTGGAAAGCAACCTCCATTAATACAGAGACCATGCATGGATGGAAAGCAACCTCCATTAAGCAGAGATCACGCATGGCTGGAAAGCAACCTCCATTAATACAAAGACCAAGCATGGCTGAAAAGCAACCTCCATTAATACAGAGACCATGCATGGCTGGAAAGCAACCTCCATTAATGCAGAGACCATGCATGGCTGAAAAGCAACCTCCATTAATACAAAGACCATGCATGGCTGGAAAGCAACCTCCATTAATACAGAGACCATGCATGGCTGGAAAGCAACCTCCATTAATACAGAGACCATGCATGGCTGGAAAGCAACCTCCATTAATACAGAGACCATGCATGGCTGGAAAGCAACCTCCATTAAGCAGAGATCACGCATGGCTGGAAAGCAACCTCCATTAATACAGAGACCATGCATGGCTGGAAAGCAACCTCCATTAATGCAGAGACCACGCGTGACTGGAAAGCAACCTCCATTAATACAGAGACCAAGCATGGCTGAAAAGCAACCTCCATTAAGCAGAGACCAAGCATGGCTGAAAAGCAACCTCCATTAATACAGAGACCATGCATGGCTGGAAAGCAACCTCCATTAATGCAGAGACCACGCATGACTGGAAAGCAACCTCCATTAATACAGAGACCAAGCATGGCTGAAAAGCAACCTCCATTCATTCAGAGACCATGCATGGCTGGAAAGCAACCTCCATTAATGCAGAGACCACGCATGACTGGAAAGCAACCTCCATTAATACAGAGACCACACATGGCTGGAAAGCAACCTCCATTAATACAAAGACCAAGCATGGCTGAAAAGCAACCTCCATTAATACAGAGACCACGCATGACTGGAAAGCAACCTCCATTAATACAGAGACCACACATGGCTGGAAAGCAACCTCCATTAATACAGAGACCACGCATGGCTGGAAAGCAACCTCCTTTAATACAAAGACCACGCATGGCTGGAAAGCAACCTCCATTAATACAAAGACCACGCATGACTGGAAAGCAACCTCCATTAATGCAGAGACCACGCATGACTGGAAAGCAACCTCCATTAATACAGAGACCACACATGGCTGGAAAGCAACCTCCATTAATACAAAGACCACGCATGACTGGAAAGCAACCTCCATTAATACAGAGACCACACATGACTGGAAAGCAACCTCCATTAATACAGAGACCACACATGGCTGGAAAGCAACCTCCATTAATACAGAGACCACGCATGGCTGGAAAGCAACCTCCTTTAATACAAAGACCATGCATGGCTGGAAAGCAACCTCCATCAATACAGAGACCATGCATGGCTGGAAAGCAACCTCCTTTAATACAGAGACCACGCGTGGCTGGAAAGCAACCTCCATTAATACAGAGACCACGCATGGCTGGAAAGCAACCTCCATTAATACAGAGACCACAACATGGCTGGAAAGCAACCTCCTTTAATACAGAGACCATGCATGGCTGGAAAGCAACCTCCATTAATACAGAGACCATGCATGGCTGGAAAGCAACCTCCTTTAATACAGAGACCATGCATGGCTGGAAAGCAACCTCCATTAATACAGAGATCATGCATGGCTGGAAAGCAACCTCCTTTAATACAGAGACCATGCATGGCTGGAAAGCAACCTCCATTAATACAGAGACCATGCATGGCTGGAAAGCAACCTCCATTAATACAGAGACCATGCATGGCTGGAAAGCAACCTCCATTAATACAGAGACCATGCATGGCTGGAAAGCAACCTCCTTTAATACAGAGACCATGCATGGCTGGAAAGCAACCTCCTTTAATACAAAGACCATGCATGGCTGGAAGCAACCTCCATTAATGCAGAGACCATGCATGGCTGGAAAGCAACCTCCTTTAATACAGAGACCATGCATGGCTGGAAAGCAACCTCCATTAATACAGAGACCATGCATGGCTGGAAAGCAACCTCCATTAATACAGAGATCATGCATGGCTGGAAAGCAACCTCCTTTAATACAGAGACCATGCATGGCTGGAAAGCAACCTCCATTAATACAGAGACCATGCATGGCTGGAAAGCAACCTCCATTAATACAGAGACCATGCATGGCTGGAAAGCAACCTCCATTAATACAGAGACCATGCATGGCTGGAAAGCAACCTCCTTTAATACAGAGACCATGCATGGCTGGAAAGCAACCTCCTTTAATACAAAGACCATGCATGGCTGGAAGCAACCTCCATTAATGCAGAGACCATGTTTCATTTTCTTTGGTCTTGGTTTCTGGTTAATTCTATTCAATTCAGTTCACTTTATTTCTATAGTGCCAATTCACAACGGACGTCATCTCCATTCACTGTCCAGTTCACCAGATCATCCAGTCAGATTGATTCAAAGTTTTCTATCTAAGGAAAACCAGTTGATTGCATTGAGTCATTGACTCTTCAGCAATCCCTTACTCTAAGCATGCTTGTAGTGACAGTGGAGAGGAAAAACTCCCTTTTAACAGGAAGAAACCTCCAGCAGAACCAGGCTCAGTGTGAGCGGCCATCTGCTGAGGCCGACTGGGGTTCAAGGAGACAGAAGCAGAGACACAAAAGGCAGCTGTAGAAGATGACCCCGTCCAGGAAACATACAGCCAGGCAGACGAGCTCCTAGCCAGCTCCCATGTCAGAGGATGAAGAGAGCACATCCAGTTAGTCACAGTCAGAGAAACAGGACTACACTGGAAAACAGGCCAAGCTTCAACATCTAGAAACAAATTATGTTTCTAGATGTTGGAACTGACCAGATGAAGCTACTATGAGAAAAAGCAGAGAGAGCAGAACGTTAGAGATTGAACTAACAGATTCTGCAGAGTGGGAGAATAGAGATAGAATGAAGCAGAATGATGAAAAAGGGGTCCCTATGTCCTCCAGCAGTCTAAGCCTATAGCAGCATAACTATAGAGATAGCTCAGGATAACCTGAGCCACTCTAACTAGAAGCTTTATGAAAAAGGAACGTTTTAAGCCTAGCCTTAAAAGTAGACAGGGTGTCTGCCTCACGGACTAAAACTGGTAGTTGGTTCCACAGGAGAGGAGCCTGAGAACTAAAAGATCTGCCTCCCATTCTACTTTTAGAAATTCTAGGAACCACTAGTAAACCTGCAGATTGAGAGCGAAGTGCTCTGTTAGGAACATAAGGAACAATCAGATCTCTGATATCAGATGGAGCTTGGCCATTTTATTCATTTTATCAAACAGAAATCATGACAGCAGGTCTGCAATATGAAGGGTTCCTCTGATGATACTTCAGTTGTTTGTGAGGCCGAAACTATTTTCAGTACATAAAAAAAGCTCTTTTGGAAAATGTGAAATGAATTAACAGGCCTTATTTTAAGGTTAAAGCTGGACAGTTCATGCTGCTGCAGGAAGGTTTCATGAATGGCGTATCGATGCATTGATGCACTGTCTGCGTCCGTCTGTCCGTCTTTAATCTTCCATATCGGGGGCGCCATTGTTGTTCCTGCGTAGAGCTGATCAGAACGAACCAACTGCTGTGATAGTTTCTCTCGTTTCAAACAGGAAGGATGGAAGTGGTTGTGTGGCGTGGCTTTGTGCGCAGCTCCTTGTTTCTGAGGGTGACAGCTAAACAGAAGCTTTCCCTCCAAACAATCGGCCGTTCTGTAAGAAGAGGCGTGGGCCCGGCCCAAACCACAGAGATGGCTCTGCTTTGACAGCTGCTTTCATCTGCTTATTATTCCTCCTTCACACTCAAGGATTTTTGGGTCCCCCTCCCCCCCCCACTCAGCTGTGATTGGCTGTTGTGACAGACTTGTTGCCGGGTTGTCAGCTTCTTCTCAAGCTCACTTTAATTACTCCTTTTCACCAACGTTCGTGCACAGATGCATGCAAACTTGTGCAGACATTGTGAAGTCAGTGGCAGACAGGCCTGCTGACACACTGACAGAGAGAATGAACCGCCTCCCTCAGCAGACCCCCAGATGTCTGTCAGCCAGTCCAGCTGATTTCAGGCCGGCGAGGCCCGATGAGCCGCGGTCCATGCGGCACCCTGCTGTGCTGAGCTCTGAAGGGCCAATTAGAGGAGGAGAAATGGAGCAGAGGATGGAGGAGGGAGGTTCTGCCCATGGAAGGAGATCCAGTCTGTAAGGTTTCAGATTCTCTGGATCCAGACCTTCAATGACTGAGGAAAGCTGCAGAGGGACGGATTCACTAGAGACTGGATCCATCTGATGGTTTCCTGAACTCCTCCTCTCCTCCCCCTTCTCCTCTCCTTCATATCCCTTCTGTCGTTCTCTGCTCCTCCCGTCCCATCTTTAGTTTTTGGCCTTACTGTCATACTGTTGGTCTGCCATCATTCATCCCTTTCCTGTCCCTCTCTCTTTCCCTCCAGGCACGCTGCCCTACGACATTAAAATCGTGATTGCTGGAAACCACGAGCTGACCTTCGATCAGGAGTTCATGGCAGATCTCATCAAGCAGGACTTCTACTACTTCCCCTCAGCCTCCAAGCTGAAGCCGGAGAATTATGAAAACGTCCAGTCGCTGCTCACCAACTGCATCTACCTGCAGGACTCGGAGGTCACGGTGCGAGGCTTCAGGATCTACGGCTCTCCATGGTGAGTGACGGCCGCTCTGCTCAGGAGCAAACAGATCTTCTCTCAGAGGAAACCTTCTCTCTTTAGAAGCTCATTTCATCTCTGTTGGCATCCTCCCTGAACGCCCGATCTCACATAATATAAAGCAAAAATTTAGCCCACGTGATCTAGAGCTGAGGTCACGGATTAGCCAGCAGGTGGGTCCGGATCCGGACCCAACCTGATTTAAAACATTTAGAAATTACCGCATGTTGTCTGATGACAGTGTCTAACTTCACTTGCGCAGCTTCTCCTGTTAATACGGCAAAGCCTTCTGGAGCGTCCGGCTCCAGATTAGCCAATGAGCTGCTGTCAGTCTGGGTTGCTGCTGCTGCTACTTTTCGACACAGCAGGCAAACCTGTGGCAAGCCGGGCGATGGGAAAGAAGGAGAAGATGATGAGAAAAAGAGAGCAGAGAAAGTGTGGACTGCTGAAAGAACTGTGGTGAACTGGTGAAAGAAAAGTGAAATGGTGCTCAAAGATGACCCAGCACATTTAGAGGATGTTTGGCTCAACCTGCTGCTGTGAAGCAGGATGCTCCACCATGAACAGAATCAACAATAAATCTGGATCCAGGCTCAAAATGAGCTCCTTGATATGAGAACGGCTTAGTCTCCATTCAAACCCAGGTTTAAAGCTTTGCAGGGCAGCCTAAAGCCCACTGCCAACATTAAGACAGAAAAAAAGAGAAAATAACAAACGCTCAGTTCAGGTGTTTTAGAAAATATGGGAATCAGGAAATTGTCTATAAAAAAAACTGAACGATTGTTGTTTTGTTCCCTTAAAAAACACTTTAGATTTTTAAAAGGAAACGATTTTCAATTTTTTATATTTTTTAAATTTAAAAATTAAATGTATAACATGGATGCATAAATACATAATTTTATTTCAGTGTTAAATTCTGTTTAAAGTAACAGATTATAGTTAAAAATGTCTCCGGACCTTTACTGGTTGATTATTTTCTTTATTCAGACCCCACCGGTTTTTAATTGGTTACCGCTGGTTTAAAGCAAACTCACCAATAGAAGCTGGAGGTGAAACCGTTTCAACCTGATCAGTCGAATCATCAGTCCAAAGACAGAGTCTTTCTCAGTCTTTCTCCAGGACCTGGTTTAGCTCCAAGGCTAGACTAACTGCATGCAGCGAGGCTAAGGCTTTATTCTGCTTCCCCTGCCTCCTTTTTCTATTGGCTAACAAAATACGCCAATCAAAGGTTGATCAGCCATTTTATTGTCAACCATCAGCTGAATAAAACTACGTGATGCATGCGTATAGGGAGGGCCTTTTTTACGTTACATAGTCAAAATGGAAGTTACACTCGATGTATGGAGTAAATAGGTCGTTGAATTGAATACGTCCACGCATCTAAAATGGCGGACAAGTATCATTATAGAGATTGATTATATGTTTTCATCCTAATGTTTTAACCTTTTTTATGGGAAAAAAAGACCCAACAACCTTTGGTGAATTATTAACTTAAGTAGATTTTTTGGAAATATTACTGGATATTACTTTTCTGTAGAGTGTTACAGACAGAATAAGCCTTTTTTACATTTCTGATCGGTAGGATCTGATAATTATGAATTCTAATTTGATGGATTATTATTAGTATTTGTCGTGTATGTTGGCTTACATTTGAGTTGATGGTTATTTTCTTAGGATTGCCTGATTCTAAAGAGGTATAATATGCTGGGTTTGACTTTAATATGAGTTCGATGTTTTAAATGTGATGCAAAAAGGTAAAAATGTAGTAATATCGGGGGGGGGAGTTAAGGAGTTAATGGTTCATGTCTGTTTCAACAGGGAGGAATTATTGCCTTCCTGGGATCCGTCAATTTTCCATGTTAGTAAATATAAAGGTCTGTTGTCTACTTTTGAGGAAAGTAATAAACTTTTACAAAATGTTGAAATCAGGCCTCTACTCTGACGATGGTTAACAACGATATTTTCTATATTGGATCTGTTTTTCTGCATAGTTTTTTTGCTAAAGCTTTTAGTTGGGAGGTGATGAAGATTTTAATCTGTTAATACTTAAATCATCATAATTAGCAGATGCTATTTTCTTTATGTCCGTAATTAAATCCAAAGGAAGTCGTTCCTTCCAGTTATTAATGTGATTTTGACTATGAAGAATCCTGTTTTATTGATCTACAAATAGAACACAGAGGCCAGAGCGCTTGAATAAATGTTAAAATGGCCTGCCATAGGGAACGTGAGGCAAGACAAAAAAAAGATGTAAAATGAATATTAATATTTGTCCTCTGATCTTTATGTATAACTAATTGCAAGCATTTTTATAGTCATAATCACTAAAATCGCATATTTCCTGTTCAATCTGAGGGTGAATCGCAAGCTGTGGCAGAAAGGAGCCGAGCCTCTGATTGCGCAATCTATCCCAAACTGAGTCGATACATGCAATTGGCCCTTTCCTGTTGCCGTATCGCTGCATGTGGCCAATATACTGTTTGCATATACGCTTATATACTCTGATGTTCCACAGTGTGGCTGTTGTCTTTAACCATAAACGTTTAATATTTATTAATGTCATACTTTAGTTCTGCTGATGGGACATAAAAGCTAATTTAAAGGAATTTTAAAAAAGTGGACTTTCAGTCCAAAGAGGATGTGATTAAAAACAGAAGACCAACTCCGCAGCTAAAAGGTTCAGACAATGCAGACGGTGAGGACTGGATGCGGCTGGACAGCTTCTCAGCCTTTTGGCCCAGAAGGATCTGCTACAGACTGTTCCTCGGGACAAAGTTCCTCCAACTGCTGCTCACAACATCCGTAGAAAGGTCCTTCTCTGCGTGGAAAAGACCGAAAACAATCAGAATAACGACAACTTTCCTGCCTGCTCATCACCTCCATTTAGGTAGAGAGACGTTAAAACTAAAGGAAAATAAGGACTTTAACAAGAAAATAAATTAGGTTTTTGTGGCAAAGGACTTTATCTACAAATAAAGGTCAGACCAAAAACAGCACAATTTGACACTGAAAACAGTTTAAAAACAAAGTTGACTGAGTGGTTTTCCTCCCTGCTTCATATTTAACCAATGAAAAACTGGTGGGAATGAAAGTCCAGGATGAAAAAACACTTTCTATCAATAATGATGCTAAATATTCCTCTTTAAAGGAACAACAGGCTTCTTTTTATTTCAGGTGATTGTTATTAGCAGAAGCTGTTTTGGGAGAGATGGATAGATGTCGTTAACGGGGAAAGTTACAATAGCTCACATCATAATAAAGAAATGCTTCACTAGCGTCTGAAACAGATTTTATTTTATAGCAAAGCTGTTTTTAAACAGAACGGACAGACTTCAGTAAGTTTGATTTTAAGATCAAATATTTTCAGACCAAATATCTCTTTCTCAGTTTTATTTTTCGGTTAAAATATTTCAGGTTAAAATGTTTCAGATTAAAATGTTTCAGAATAAAATGTTTTAGGTTAAAATGTTTCAGATTAAAATATTTCAGGTTAAAATGCTTCAGGTTAAAATGCTTCAGGTGTCATGATCGGTTTAATGGACTAAACCCACATGCAGAACACTAACGGAGACAGAGGAAAGTTTAACAATGTTTATTTAAGAATACACAGAATGATTCAAGATCTGGTTCTGGTACAGGTCCGGGACTGGTTTCAATATTATCTGGAGAGATGAGAGTTTGATTAGCCAAGCAGATGATGGTTTGACGAGTGAGTAGAATCTTGATAATACCTTGAGGAGGTTTTAACAGATCCGTGAGAGGAGGAACCGGTTGGGTCCAGAGTCTGTGGAGGTAGCAGAGAGCTCAGCAGCAGCAGCGTCTAGCTTCGAGCCAGAGAGTTTCAGACTTGGGTTCTTGTTTCCTAGCTCTTTCCCAAGAGCTGATGGAGGAATCCAGACTGAGATCTTCAGGTTTGGCTTACGTGGGCAGGCAGGCAGATTTCCAGATTATGCTCATCCAGAGCTCAGACTTCAGTTGGGTTTCTGTGAGCAAGAAGACAAGAGCAAGTTAGAAGGCTAGTTTCTCTCTAGAGGCAACTAGTATTCTTTAGGATTTCAGAGGCTCAGGTTCGCTAACCAAACTAGGTCAACACTCCGGCGTCGAAGGAAGGTCTGACTGCTGCTTATGTAGCGAGGTCTTCTGATGAGCTGATGATCCCCAGGTGTGCTGAGGACTCCAGCTCAGGAAGCCCACAGTGCTCTCTGCTGGAGACAGGTGGCAGATCTCCAGATCCCAACATCAGGTTAAAATGTTTTAGGTTAAAATGTTCCAGATTAAAATATTTCAGGTTAAAATATTTCCGGTTAAAATGTTTCAGATTAGAATGTTTCAGATTAAAATGCTTCAGGTTAAAATGTTTTAGTTTAAAATGTTTCAGATTAAAATTTTTCAGGTTAAAACTTTTTTAGGTTAAAATGTTTCAGATTAAAATTTTTCAGGTTAAAATGTTTTTTAGGTTAAAATGTTTCAGATTAAAATATTTCAGGTTAAAATGTTTCAGATTAAAATGTTTTTAGGTTAAAATGTTTCAGATTAAAATGTTTTTAGGTTAAAATGTTTCAGGTTAAAATGTTTTTAGGTTAAAATGTTTCAGATCAAATGTTTTAGGTTAAAATGTTTCATGTTAAAATGTTTCATGTTAAAATGTGTTGGTGGCGCACTGGTTAGCGCACACAAGCCATGTACAGACCTCTCAGTCCTTGCCAGGGCCGACCCGGGTTCGAATCTGACCTGCGGTCCTTTGCCACATGTCTCTCCCCTTTCCTGTCAGAATAATGAGCCACTAGTGCCGTAAAAACTCAAAAAGAAAAAAAAAATGTTTTAGGTCAAAATGTTTTGTTGGCCTTAGGAAAATGTATTTATTTGCTTTTCCATCTGGTTATGCAAAAAGGCGAGGATTACTGAAAATGAGGCGGATGTTTGCAGAATACGCTGTGACTGTTCATAAGACAAATCTATCAGCGTGTTAAATCAGTGCAGAAACAGCACAGGCTTTGCTGGGCTCAACATATGGATAAAGGTGTAATGCTTTAACACAGCCAGTCAGAGGGGGGGGGGTCATGGTCTGGGCCAGCATGCCTTCAGAGGGGGAGTGGAAACGCTCCGTGTGCTGACAGGATGGATGAGTGATTGCAGAGCTGCGGCTCCACGGGAAATAATGAAGGATGCAGATGCAAAAGAATCCTTAATTAGATTTTTTAATTATTGAGGATTCACTTCTCCTTCTATAGTGTCCCAATTAAAAAAGCTCATCAAAAACTAAAGAGATGAAGGGAAAGTGTTTTTCTCCCTGTTTCCCCTCCTTTCTGTCTCATCCCTCCTCCTCCTCTTCCTCAGCCTCCTCTTCCTCGCCTCTTTCATTTCACCTGCTTCCTGTTTGATGGCTCGTCCGCGCTGATGAGCAGGAAATGGAGGGGCTCTGGCTGCTTTAATCAACGCCGTTGTTTTCAGGGGAAAAAGTAAAGAGAAGAGGAGGAGGTGAAGGTGGCATCAAGGCTTCTTCTTCTGTGATAATGAGTCTAATGATGACAGAAGCTCACCTCAGCTTTTAAAGTTGATGTCCAAAAACTTTCACAGACAAAACAATCAGGGAGTGGGTGGGGGGGGGCAAGAATAAGAAAATCCAGCAGTAAATGATTAATCTTCATGTTCTCTCTCATTTTCAGCAGTGAAACTGCAATAACTGGTTCGGTCCTCAGGTCCTGCATAGCACCAGGTCTCACCGTCTGTAACCAGCAGTTCCCTCGTACCGAGGCTTAAATGCCACGCACGCATCATTTAGTGAGAATGATAGAAACACGTTAACTAGAAAATGTGTAAATAAGCAGGAGTGTGGTTAAAACATCCACGGCTGAAAAATGCAGCGTCCAAAAGTCTGAGTTTGAAAAAGGAAGAGAAACAGGAGCGAGAGAAGGTGTCTGATACCCTGACCCAGATTATAAAGAACGGTTTGTTACCTGAATAGTTCAGATTAACAATAGATTATTAACCTATTGAATAAAATAGGATCTGCTGGATAAACTACTGAGTTAATCTCCCTAAATGTCGGAGGGAAATCACATCATTAATGACGCCGCCCAGCTGGATGCGTCTGAAACGGAGCGTGACTGCAAGTTTTCATCATTTTGTTGTGTTTCGTTTTTAGTTTTCAAGGACAAATAATCCAGGATTAATCCTGCCAGTTAGCATCAGTACAGTCTGTGGGACTTTACCACTTTTTACGTTTTTATATATAATGATAAATCATAAATTGAAATGTCCTCCAGTTGTTTCCACTGTGTTAATCCAGGACAGCTGCAGTGCATTGAGTCGCCTCCAGCAGCCTGGATTATAATCTGGTCAATATTAAAACAGTTTGGTTAGATTTTTATATTCAGATTAAATTACAACCATCAAAAGACATCTAGAAATCTGGATAATTCTCATGAGCAGCCTGAAGCAGCCACATAATAAATACATGTTTTATTGTCATTAGACACGCAGATTAATGTAAAATAAACTCTCAGGGCATAAAAATGATCTGTCCTTTGATAAAGTTATGGTGAAAGTTGATAGGAATCTATTTTCACCATCCGGAACCTGTTTTCTGTTCATGTGTTCATAGATACAGCTGCTATTATTTTGATAGGATAGTAATGTAAAGTTTAAAGTTAACGTATGTTAAACTTTTTCACGTTTTGATCATTTTCCTTAGTAGAAATATTCCAATAAAAATTACATTGACAATATAAATGTGAATATAGCAGTTTTAAAGCTAGTGTAATTTATTTTTTAAATTAAATGTATTTGTATTAATGCGACCCTGGTGGGGGGGTTTATCCATGTTGGGGGGGTTATTAGCTGATGAATGCAGGTCTTCAGTTCTGCTGATGGTAACTCAGATTAATGCGTCGCTTTCATTCTCCACCTTCTACCTTCCTACCTGCTGCTCTCTGCTGTCCTGCTTCATCTCTTTCCTCGCTCATGTCATGACGTTTTTAAGAGATCTGACCCACATGCAGAAAACCACTCAGAGAAACCAGAGTAAAACTTTAACAGGTTTATTGAGGAGTTCAAATGGGTTGGATTCAGGGGAACTCAGAGAGCTGGTGAACCGGAACTGGAAGTGAGAAGGGAAGTTCACAGAGGTTAGTTCAGGGTCCGTGGGAACTTTGAACGACGTCTTGCAAAAACAGGGATAAACGGGACTCACGATTGCAGAGAAAGGCTTCTTCCCAGAATCCAGTTGGTGTGGGTTTTTCCAGAGATAAAGGGGCTCTTTGGAAGGCGGACAGGTTTTGGTTTGGTTGGTTCCTGAGGAGCAATGGAGCTGACTGCCACTTAGATTTCCTGGAGAACTTGAACGGGACGTGTGGAAATTAATCCCCTGCTCAGTGTGAAGCTCAAACAATCCTTCCAGGGGGAGAAGGCCAAACATCCAGTATGCAGGAAGACTTCCTGCCGAAAGGCAAAAGACAAAAATCACGTTAGACTTAGAGAAAACAAAGAATCAGTCAGACTCAGCTAAACTCAACTCTGGCGAGGAGGTAGTGGCAGTCCACCGCTTAAGAAGTCCTCAGTAATGAGCCAACCAGCCGCAGATGTGTGGGAGGACCAACGAGAACAGGGCGCCACCTGGTGGTGGAAGGAGAAAACACAAAAACACAACCCACACAGACTGGATTCCTAACAACTCACCCGTTTGGTTAAAGGAAGAACTGATTTTTCAGGATTGAAAACCTTCTAGGGAATAAAACTGGTAAAGTTTCCTACATAGCTTCATATATTCTTCCCTCTGATCAAATGCAACATTTGGCCATTTTGTTTTCTGCAGCAAACTGAGCAGTTTATTGAATCCTCGTCATTTCATCTTCACGCTGCAGTAGTAGCGCATCGTGGACAGCTTTGGCCATCATGGTACTTTAGCTGAATCTGCCTCAGGTTTCCTTTTCACTGCTGCAGTGGGAGAAACGCCATCAAAGTGGCGGTGGCGCTTTGGATGGTAAAGGGGACGAACATTTTCCAGATGGAGTAGCTCATCTCACTGGGATGTAGCTTCAGCCAGTCGGGCTGAAACGTTTCAGCAGCTGGTGGAGGATCGGTGGTTACTGATCACATCACTGGGTCCGCCATCGCTTTGATATTCAGAAGCTGCTTCCTCTGCTGATTCAACGATAAGATGATTAAACCTGTAAGATGAGCTGAACGGATCCTGCTGGGTTTCGAGCGCTGACTGGTTCTGCTGCACTGGCAAGGTTTGCCGGAGTAGATTAATGGGGGAATAATGGAGGATGGGAGTATGGAGAGTCACGAGGGACAAAATTAGATACATTCATCATAAAATATGAAATGTTCTTCTAAGCATCTGAATGAATGATTGAATATTCTAGTTATTTATTTATTACATTACTCTATAACTGAATTTCCTATTTAATTATAAAACTTCTTAATAATTAAATCTACCATGAATTAATCGCTTATGTTCTAAATGATGGATCTTGGTTTTATTAGGTTGCGAGGTCATCTCCCATCTCACTGATTATAACACTTTAGCTCCGCCCACAATGTGACGATGGTGATCAGACCTCTTGCAGCCTGATGCTGATTGGTTGTTTAAGGCATTTCCCGTAAAAAAAAATGCAGCCATGTTTGGAGCTGACTGCCCCAAGCTGCCCGGGAAATAAACGGGAATCAGAGAGAAAAACCTCATATTTTATTCTTGATATAGTTCGTCTGTTAGATCTGATAGACTTTAACTGGGCTGAGTATTTCAAAATAAAAGCCCTGCCTGTTCTATCTATTGAGAAGCTCCATAGTCTCATTCATTTACTAAGCTTTACATCTTTATTTTGTTTCTAAAGGATAAACTTTGTGAACCAATTCAATTCTATTCAGTTTATTTCTATAGCGCAAATTCACACAACATGTCATCTCAGCTTTACAGAGACAGTTCACCAGATCATCCAGTCAGATTGATTCAAAGTTTTCTATCTAAGGAAAACCAGTTGATTGCATCGACTCATTGCCTCAGAGGCAATGCCTCACACTAAGCATGCTTGTAGCGACAGTGGAGAGGAAAAACTCTCCTTTAACAGGAAGAAACCTCCAGCAGAACCAGGCTCAGTGTGAGCAGCCATCTGCTGAGGCCCACTGGGTTCAAGGAGACAGAAGCAGACATAGAAAAAGAAGCATAGATACAAAAGGCAACTGTCAACCAGCTCCACAGGCGGCCCCATCCCGGAAACACACAGCCAGGCAGACGAGCTCCGAGCCAGCTCCTATGTCAGAGGATGAAGAGAGCACATCCAGCCAGTCACAGTCAGAGAAACAGGACTACACTGAAAAACAGGCCAATCTCCAACATCTAGAAACAAAGGTGTTGATGGCAGCAGCACAGCTGATATTTCTCTCCAGGATGGAGTCACAGCCAAACAGGAACAGACCAGATGAAGCTGCTATGAGAAAAAGCAGAGAGAGCAGAACGTTAGAGATTGAACTAAAAGATTCTGCAGAGTGGCAGAATAGAGACAGAATGAAGCAGAATGATGAAAAAGGGGTCCCTATGTCCTCCAGCAGTCTAAGCCTATAGCAGCATAACTATAGAGATAGCTCAGGATAACCTGAGCCACCCTAACTATAAGCTTTATCAAAAAAGAAAGTTTTAAGCCTAGCCTTAAAAGTAGACAGGGTGTCTGCCTCACGGACTAAAACTGGTAGTTGGTTCCACAGGAGAGGAGCCTGATAACTAAAAGATCTGCCTCCCATTCATTTTTAAAATAAAATGATTTAGTGTGAAGTAGATTTTGAAATGAAAATAATATGTTTAACAAATAAAAGTGTTAGTAGAAACGTAATAAAACTGTACGGGTTCAATGCAGGGCTGAAAATTGGCTTAATGTCATGAATTTCATTGGACTTGTAAAAATGACGCCTGTGTAACCCATTCACTCCAGGTCATTGACAGCTTAGGCTCCAAGTCCTCATTTCTCTGTTTTCTATAAAGAATCAAAAGGCGATTTAGAATAATGAAGCTGAATAAATGATGGACTCCTTTCACAGTGGCCCCTCCCCTTTCCTTCCTCTGTTCTCCATCTTTATCTTCCTTCTAAGTGCTGCCAGTCTGCCGGCCTGCTGCCAAATAAACAGTTATGGAGGACGATGTCCCTGGAGGGATTTCCTTTAAATTACCTGTTAAATGTCCTCCAGGGGCTGAGCCTTAACATGGGTGGGTGTGCATGTCGGCGTTCCTTTGTGCTGCGGCCCGCTATGGGCCGCTTTCTACCATTTCACACATGACTTCCCTCCCCAAGGCACCGGGCTCTGCTGATGGGGGAAAGAAAGAAATGAAAATTATTCCCTCCTTATGTTCCTCTGCCCCTCCCCTCCCTGCTGCTGTATGTACGCCACGCTCTCTGTCTCTCACACAGATGCATGCACAGACGTTTATTAACCGTGTAACCACCCAGAGCCCAGGGTAACCGCCGTGCTGGTTGGTGCTAGCTAAACGCTGATGTTAATGCTTGACTGTTTGACCACAGAGCTACCAGAGCCAGATGCTAACATCATTTGATTAGATGACTAGTTTCTGTTGACTCTCTTTCACACTAAGATTTAATCTGTTTCATGCTGTACTGTCTATTTATAAAGGATATTCTAGTTCTTCCAGATGGGCTGGTTTAGCTAAAACTTCTCCTAAAGTCTATTCATCAGATAGAAATCCTAAATCTTCAGATTATCATATGTACAATAAACATAAATTAAAATTTCACTGATCCAAAGATTTTAGCAGGAAAAACTAGAAAAGCATTCGGAGAGCGCAGAGCGCTAACAGGCAGCAGACATGGCTGCATACTGTGACTCTAAGATAAAACTAGAATTGGTCCTTGGCACTGTCACTACCATAGATAATCATAGGTAGATGCCCCATTGGACGTGCCTACAGGTCGGCCATCTTGGGTCAGACCATCGATCAGCTGCTACATATACATACACTATATTGCCAAAAGTATTTGCTCACCCATCCAAATTATTGGAATCAGGTGTTCCAATCACTTCCATGGCCACAGGTGTATAAATTCAAGCACCTAGGCATGCAGACTGTTTTTACAAACATTTGTGAAAGAATGGGTCGCTCTCAGGAGCTCAGTGAATTCCAGCGTGGAACTGTGATAGGATGCCACCTGTGCAACAAATCCAGTCGTGAAATTTCCTCGCTCCTAAATATTCCACAGTCAACTGTCAGCTGTATTATAAGAAAATGGAAGTGTTTGGGAACGACAGCAACTCAGCCACGAAGTGGTAGGCCACGTAAACTGACGGAGCGGGGTCAGCGGATGCTGACGCGCATAGTGCGAAGAGGTCGCCAACTTTCTGCAGAGTCAATCACTACAGACCTCCAAACTTCATGTGGCCTTCAGATTAGCTCAAGAACAGTGCGCAGAGAGCTTCATGGAATGGGTTTCCATGGTCGAGCAGCTGCATCCAAGCCATACATCACCAAGTGCAATGCAAAGCGTCGGATGCGGTGGTGTAAAGCACGCCGCCACTGGACTCTAGAGCAGTGGAGACGCGTTCTCTGGAGTGACGAATCGCGCTTCTCCATCTGGCAATCTGATGGACGGGTCTGGGTTTGGCGGTTGCCAGGAGAACGGTACTTGTCTGACTGCATTGTGCCAAGTGTAAAGTTTGTTGGAGGGGGGATTATGGTGTGGGGTTGTTTTTCAGGAGCTGGGCTTGGCCCCTTAGTTCCAGTGAAAGGAACTCTGAATGCTTCAGCATACCAAGACATTTTGGACAATTCCATGCTCCCAACTTTGTGGGAACAGTTTGGAGCTGGCCCCTTCCTCTTCCAACATGACTGTGCACCAGTGCACAAAGCAAGGTCCATAAAGACATGGATGACAGAGTCTGGTGTGGATGAACTTGACTGGCCTGCACAGAGTCCTGACCTCAACCCGATAGAACACCTTTGGGATGAATTAGAGCGGAGACTGAGAGCCAGGCCTTCTCGTCCAACATCAGGGTGCGACCTCACAAATGCGCTTCTGGAAGAATGGTCAAAAATTCCCATAAACACACTCCTAAACCTTGTGGACAGCCTTCCCAGAAGAGTTGAAGCTGTTCTAGCTGCAAAGGGTGGACCGACGTCATATTGAACCCTATGGATTAGGAACGGGATGTCACTTAAGCTCATATGTGAGTCAAGGCAGGTGAGCAAATACTTTTGGCAATATAGTGTATATACATACATGATGATTCATGTATGTATATTTACCAATTATCAATGGAAAAAACACTTTGCAGGGAAAATTGAGAATGGCAGAGACAGAAAATGAAAACAATGTGTTTAAATGCACATTTAATGGATTCAGAATAGTATGGACTCATAAGTAAAGAATTGGTAGGATGTTAATGTTAAAGACCTTAGAATGATTAAAGGAAATCCACTTCTTCATCAGTCAGAAGCTAAATTATAGGAGCTGATCTTCAGAAGCATTGACTGTCTGAACATTTGTGCAAATGTTGGTGAACTCATAGCAGATCTTTGAAGAAGGTGCAAAATCCACAGTGCAATCCACCAGACACCATGTAAACATACTGGGACCCTCAGATATTAGTAGAATAATACTGATAAAGACAAAACGTTTCACAAGCCAGAACAAATTAATGCAGTGGGACTGCAAACAATCTATGAATAATTTATCCAAACCAAAAAAAATAAAATAAAATAAGGTGAAAAGTGTGAATCACTTTGTCATTGCAAAATAAATATATTTCCCGCTCAATTTGATTCATTGTGCACAAAGTACAGTTATTTTCACATGTTTGCACATGTAAGACATGCAATCCTTGGCAGGTCAATCAGCAGACAAAGACCTCTCCATTTATCCAGGGTGGTTGGTTGGCCCGGGTGGTGATGTTATTTTTGATGCTGACATCCTCAATTAATTTGTTGATGTTGGCTGACACACTCATGGTATACTCACCAATATTTAACAAGTTGTCATATGTTGCTGCAGCCTTGAATATGTTCCAGTCAGAGCATTCAAAACATTCTTGGAGTTTCTCCATGGCGCCCTCAGACCACACTCTGACCTCTTTAACTGTCAGTTTAGCCCTGATCAGCTGGGGCTTATATGCAGTTAGCCTGGTTAAAATCCCCGGCAATGATGAAAACACCCTCTGTGTGCAGATTGGAGCTCAGAGATAGCCTGGTATAGAGTCTTCATGGCCTCTTTAGTGTTAGCGCTGGGGGACACATAAACAGCAGTGATGCTAACAACACTGAACTCTCTGGGCAGATAGAACGGTCTGCAGTTAACAGTCAGAAACTCGATGTCAGGAAAGCAGATGCTGGCGACTGATCTATTATTTTTACACCAGCTGTTGTTGATATAAACACAGAGCTTGATAATGATATGTCAATTCTTCATATCTTTACTCCACAGACGGAAAGTTCTCCTGGTCCCTCCTTCTGCTGGAAAACCTTTTGGGATGTTTGCTGGTGGAAGATTATTTTGACTTTAAAGATTATTTGTGCTGTCCTGGATGTAACTACATGATTCAGTTTGTGAGTGAGCGTGATTAGGGTGGCTTTAGCAGGTTTGTCCCTGCTGAACACAAGCACCCCATAGCATGATGCTGCCACTACCATATTTGATAGCTGGGATGAGGTTCAGGGTTAGTCCTCGTCCAAATTAACATATTGTTCAGAAGCTTCAGCTTTGGTCTAGTCTTACCAAAGCTGGGCTCTGGCAGGCTACAGGCGGGTCTTTGCTTGATGTCCTAATGACAGCTTCCGTCTTGCCACGCTTCTATAAAGACCACACCAGTGATAGTGGTCCTGTGGACAGACCCCCCCCCCCCCCCCCCCCCCCCCCCCCCCAGCTTCAGATCTCTGCCGTTGGTCCAAGATCTGAATGGGTAACAGTCAGATGGATGTGAATACTTTTTGAAGCCACTGTAGCTGCTCTGGATGTCATTACATACTCTTCAGATTGTTTGGTTATTCTAACCTCAGACTTCTCTTTTAGGAATTAATTTGCAGTTAAAATAGTAGGAAGTCATTAAATGCCAACATTTTTAATGTTTCTGGAAAAAACAAACTATTTTTTTCTCTAACTAATTCAACGGGAGGTTGATTGACAGCCTGATGATGGTACATGAAGAACTAAGGTGCTTCTGGGACAGGCTGATGAGCCCAGGCTCCTCCTTGCAGGCAGTCCAGGGATCCATAGTCTGCTCCTTCTGCCATGTTGGCACCAGGTGCTCACACCTCCTGGTGCCTCCATCCATCCATCCATCCATCCATCCATCCATCCATCCATCCATCCATCCATCCATCCATCCATCCATCCATCCATCCATCCATCCATCCATCCATCCATCCATCCATCCATCCATCCATCTCGGAAGAAGGGGCCCCCCCGAAGGTGCCAGTTCCAGCTGAACTGGCTGATCTGCAATGTTCACACAGGCAACTGAGTGGGGAGAGGAATGAGGCAGTAGGTTTGGTGGGGGGAAAAGGTCTCTGTTTCCTCTTTTCCCCCATCCTTCCCCATCCTCTCATCCTCCCCCATCCTCTATATCTCCTCCACCCTTCCCCATCCAACCCCCTCCTCTCATCCTCCCCATCCTCTATTCCTCCCCCATCCTTCCATCCTCTCTCTACAAGCAGAGAACTTTGAAATAATTTGCGTCTCAAGGGTTTTTTACACATTCTAATTTCCAACTAAATGGGACATCTGTTTGAGAAAAGAAAGATTTGCCACGGTTGCCAAGGCAACTATCGATGTGAAAGGAAAGGGGGGGGGGGGGGGTTGGATTGTGTGAGAGGGAAAAAAACTCAACTGCTTGTACAGAAATTGTTGGACTTTGTTGAAACCGCTTTATGCCGTACAGCAGCAATTTGTTTATTTTCCTCCTTGTCTTCGTCTCTATCCAACCATCCATCCAGCCGCCCCTGAATCCAGTCGCCCCTGAATCCAGTCGCCCCTGAATCCAGTCGTCCCTGAATACAGTCGCCCCTGAATCCAACCGTCCCTACCTCCACCCGCCCTTGAATCTAGCCGTCCCTACCTCCACCCGCCCCTGAATCCAACCGTCCCTACCTCCACCCGCCCCTGAATCTAGCCGTCCCTACCTCCACCCACCCCTGAATCTAGCCGTCCCTACCTCCACCCGTCCCTGAATCTAGACGTCCCTACCTCCACCCACCCCTGAATCTAGCCGTCCCTACCTCCACACGCCCCTGAATCTAGCCGTCCCTACCTCCACCCGCCCCTAAATCTAGCCATCCCTACCTCCACCCACCCCTGAATCTA